AAGCATCCCCCCCCCAGGTAATTGCTTTTCTCATATAGTTTGCATTTCCAACATACTATACAAACAGTTAATACATGACAGATACTTTCATAAGTAATCACAGGCTATTCAAAATTGTGACATAAAAGAGACCCAAATTGAAAAAAAAAAAAAAGTACTAGGTCAACTTCATTGCTAGCTTGAACTAGTTAGCATTTCCTGTGGGAAAGAGGTCCACTTTTCTGACATAATTGATAATGTCTGTCACAAATAGAGATGGCAAGCCTGAAATTTGCACAGGGACTTTTTCATGTCATCCCGTTCATTTTAAAGTAGAATGCATTTTTCACAACTCAGTGGAGAGTTGAGCAATGAATCCCTTTTAGGTGGATATAGCAATGCACTAGGGAAACATGTCCAAGGTGGCACAGTGAGCCCAGAGAAGAGCCAAAGGCACCTGAAGGAGCTGCTTCTCAGCACTTTCTGTTAGGGCTCTAGCCCTCTAGCTGATAGAGGCTTAATCAGCACCTTTTCCCCAAATGTGTGGGTCTTCAAAAGCACCTGTAAACAAGATACACATTCCATTTGACTCTAAAACAGAACCCCTTGTGAGATACAAATAGCATGTAGTTCCCACCCCGGGCCATGCCTCCAACAAGTCTGTGGGAGAACCACATAGGGTATATTGGGTATGGTCTGCTGTCTTTGATGGGTAGCAGCCTATTCAGTGTTGAAGCAGAGTAGGCCAAACATCATGAGTGGCTGTTCTTGTCAGCCTGATTCAATACATACCTGAGTGCTTTTCTAAAGTCAAGTACCAGATGAAGGTATGAGGGGAATAGGAAGAACACAATTAAACGAGAAAAATGCTAAGTAGAAAGCAGAACAGAAGAAAAAGAGAAGAGATAAGAAAAGAGGGTTGATGGGAATGAGGTATGCCTATTGGGCTTTGGAGTCAGACAGAAAGATAGCTTTGTATGTTTCCAGCTCCATATTTTGCTTAAATTGGGAACTGATACCCAGATAGATTCATGGTGAACCCTAATAAAATACAATTATTATCAAATAATGGAAATTCCTATTTATAATGGTGATTCCTGACTTTAACTTAGGAAGACTGTGTTTCCTCTACAGTGTGGAGACTTCAGGGAAGGATTTGACTTGGCTGTAGTGTGACAGAAGATTTATGAAAAATTTAACACTGAAGATTGTATTTGTGCACATAGAGAAGCTTAGAGGTAGGTAGTCTAGGATTCACTAGGTAGTTCATCAAGTTGCAAGAGCCGCCTGGCTCCTTCTAGCTTTCTTGCTTCACCAGGTTCATGTTTTCAGTGTGGCTACTGAAGCTCCAGCTCTTACATCTTTGTTTCAGGGAGCAGGATAAGATGAAGGACAGAAGGAAGGCTCAAATTGTGCCTTGCAAAGGGCCTCCCAGAAGTGCCCATGTTTCACATCTGCTTGGCCAGAGCTTATCTTGGCCACTCAACTATAAGGGACCACCTGAGTAGCATAGTTTTCACTGGTATTTCCCTCCCCCACCTCCTTCCCCCTCCCTCTCTCTCTCTCGCTCGCTCTCTCTCTCGCTCTCTCTCTCTCTCCTTCCCCCTCCCTCTCTCTCTCCCTCTCTCTCTCTCTCTCTCTCTCTCTCTCTCTCTCTCTCTCTCTCTCGCTCGCTCGCCTACATAAGGCCTGTAGAGAGAAAACACCTTGATCCTTAGGAAAATGTCATAGAGATGAACAATAATATCAGTGATGGTAGTGGTCACTCACATTTGAGGTGCCATGGCTCTGTGTTCAAAAATTTAGATGAACCCTGTCCTTTAGCCTTCCTTTTATATAGATGTGGTTATCTCCATTTATCAGAAAAGAAACTGAGTCTTAATAAATTTAAGTAGTCTTTCCAAGGGTCCATCACCTGTGAGAGGTAGAGCTATAACAATGAACCAGATGGGTCTTTTTCTAGATCTCAAGCATTTAACCATGACTTTGCCTCCCACTTCTCAAGTTTTCACCTGGTGGTTTATTCGTATCTGTAGTGGGATTTTAAAAAACCTTATGTCCCATTTATGTTCTTATGGTCTTTAGCTTCCTACTTTTTTCACCACACACACACAGACACACACACACACTTTGTTTATTTACCAAATTTTTAACTGTTTTTTTTTTTAATGCTTGTGTGGTTTCTAAATACTTGGTTAGTAAATTATGAGTTGTCTCTTCACATTTTGGTCAGAAATCTGTATATTAAAGTTTTGGGCAATTTGTTACTTTGTTACTTACTGAGCAACCTTCTTCTCCTAGGCCCACTCCTAAAAGCTATGGGGATCACAGGGTAAAAAAAAGAGTCCTTTCCCTCAAGGAATTTACAATATACTTCTTTAGAGAATGGACTTTAGACAAGCCTGTTAACATCCAATTAGGCTGACATACATGCAAATCACAATTGACCTAGATGTAGACACCCATGTGTCTATAATTACAAGAGCATCATTGTAGCTCTGGTGGCCACCCATCCCTTTAAAACATTCCTAAGAAATTACTAGAATAAATAGGCAATTCTGTTTAAACACTCTATATTTCCCCTTAAACAACATGGTTTATATTATTGTGTTAGTAAAAAAAAAGCTTGTTAATGTTAATTTACACAAGGAAGATGGGGACTGAATTGTAATGCCTGTTATTTAAAACTAGGCATTAACCATGTCCAATTGTTATAGTTTAATTCCAATTTTATGACATTTTAAATTGTGTCAAGAATAATGGACAAATATAAAGTCTAAATCAGGTGAATAGTGGAATGAAGTTTGGATCCAGTGCCTATCAATACAAGTCTATTAGGATTTATGACTGGTATGCTTTTTACAAAATTTGAGAAAAAAGATGTTCACCTGATAGATTAGGGAAGAGAAAGAAGGAGCATTGGGAGGCTGGTGATGAAATCTCACACAAAACCTCCCTTTAATCCAGTCCTTGTACCTGCAAATCAAATATTAAGAGAAGGAATCAAGAAAAAGTCTTATTATACCCTTTTTCTTTTGCTTTTTTTCCTAGTGTATCTTATCATTTTACTTGATCTAAAAGTTATTTTTTATTAAAAAATAATTTTTTATAACTTGGAACTACCAACAAATTACATACCCCCATTTCCTGGTTATGTACAACCAGAAACATTTTGTCCCATTAATGGGGAAGTGATTTTTAAAATAGGCATAAATATATCACCTGTATCTTACATTTGCCTAGATAGATTTATTCTTAGTCTTTCAAGTACTTTGTTAACTGAGCTCCATCAGTTTGAAAAGTCAGTTCTTTTTTGCCTAGGTCACTCGTCATACATCATGTGCCCAGACCTTTGATTTATAGATACTGAGTCTCCTGGCTTTACTAATAGTCCCTTTTATCTTTGGTGGTTTCATTCACTTTATCTGATCAATGTCTAATTGAACTTGTGATACTGGGTTTCATTATTATCTTGAGTGAACTTTACTTTGAAAACTTATAACATTTAACCTAATGATATGAAGTTGCACTTGTATAGACGTTTATAAACAAAATGCATAAACAAACAAAATGCATAAACATACAAAAATGTATTTCTACATTGTATTTGATCCTTACTGCAACACTGAGAAAATTAGCTTAACTTCATTCATGATTTCATGTTGTCAGTATGAAGTAAACATGATAGACAGACGCGGTTTTCACCCTCCCAACCTGTTAGTGGGGAGAGATGTTTATTATGAATGAGGGAAACATGTTTTTATAAGAAATCTATAGCTCGGAGAACTGAAGCAACTTGCCCAGAGTCATGGTAGATATGTGATAAAGGTTTGGGTGTGTGATGGATGACTAAACTAGAAAGGTAAGCAGGAGGGAGATTCTTAGTCTTGAAAAACTGACCAAAGTATTAGGATGAATAACCATTAGAGACTCTGGATGAGGGTGGTGTTTTAGTCAGCTTTTTTGCTGCTGTAACTAAAATATCTGACGAGAACAATTGTAGAGGCATAAAAGTTTATTTGAGGGCTCACAGTTTCAGAGGTCTCAGTCTATGAATAGCAATCTCCATTCCTCAGAGATCAAGGTAAGGCAGACTATCATGGTGGAAGAGTGTGGCAGAGGAAAGTGACTCACATGACGATCAGGAAGCAGAGAGACACTAAGTTCGGGTCATGAAATATACAACCCAAAGGCACACCTCCAATGAGCTACCTCTTCCAGCCACACCGTACCCACCTTCAGTTACCACTCAGTTCATCCCCATTAGGGGATTAATTCACTGATTGGATTAAGTCTGTCATAATCTAGTCATTTCTCCTCTAAACCTTCTTGCATTGTCTCACACATGAGCCTTTAGGTGACACCTCACTCTAAACCATAACGGGTGGCAATATAATCCATGGTTAGAAGGAATATTCTTAGAGTAAGATACCAGCTAAATGGATAAAGGTGGTGGAGATGTGACCAACTGACAAACTTTTAATACTTATATGTATAAAAGAAAGTCCTGAAATAATGGAGTGGTTCAGGAAGGGGATGGGGCAGACAAATAGAGGCCACTGCACTGGGGAAATGGAAGGGTCTCGGTGGCTGTCTGCTTAGGAAAAGGAAAAGACAAAGATAAGAATTCAGTGATGCTGATGTTTCAAATCATAAGAACTTATAATGACCACATTTGGGAAGCACCTAATGAGCATCCATTAAAAGAACCCCATAAGAGTCCCTTCTTATGGCATCCTTCTAAGACCACATCTTTGATGACACTCTCTTTGGAGTGTTTTCTAAAACCAGTCACAATGTTCCCTCCTGCTCCCTTCTAGACCTAGTCTAAGTATGGCTCTCTCTATTCTGCTGTATCCCAAGGGATGAGGAGCAGTTACCACAAAGATTAGAAATGAGGAAAAACTGGACCCAAGATCCTTATTCAGAAGTGGACCTCTTCCTGCAGGTGTGATGGTCTAGGTCAGCTGAGACACGTATGTGGCATGTGTTCTCTATTGATTTGCTGGATTGTATCCTAGGCATTTTTTGTCGACCACAACTCCCGAACCACCACTTTCATTGATCCTCGGCTCCCGCTGCAGAGCAGTAGACCCACAAGTGCACTGGTTCACCGGCAACACTTGACCAGGCAACGCAGCCACAGTGCGGGTGAGGTGAGTCACATGCTGCAGGGACTGACCTGCTGGTTGATAGAAGCTACAGGGATGTGGTGGTTGGTGGAATTGGGATGGCTTTTTGTTATGTTTTTTGCTTTGCTTTGTTTTTCTAGTTTGATTTAAAAGGAGGATCATTTGGAGGATGAAAAGCTTTATAATGTTGACAGGCTTCTCTAGAAATATGCAAATTTTAAAGGTAGGACATATGAGGAAAGACTGGAGATTTTTTTTATTAACTCAGAGAAAGGTGAGAGGGAATTAAAGATGCACTAAAATGTTATTAGAAGATGATAATCAGCCTTTTTGCACACCCAAGGACATAAGAAGAAATGAATGCAACTTTTAGTGGACTAAAACTTTATTCAATATAGGAAAGAATTTCCCAAGTGAGGTTTGCTGGATTACATCCAAGACTATGGAGCTGAGGAATCCTCACTAGTATTCTTTAAGATTAGGATATATCCAATGGGCTTGCTTGATTTATATACCAAATACCCAGAGAAAATTGGATGAACTAAAAATTACTGAAAACTCCGTGGGCTACTTGCCAGTTTGTAGTGGCCCGTGGTAACCACATGAGGGCCCTCCAATATCCTAACCCAAAACACAAATCCTTTCTTGATTTACCTTTTTCTTTAGCAGTTTAAACACAAGGAATGTTTCAGGTTAAGTTAGTTTGCTTCTCCTTAGAATAGGCTTATGCTTTGAGTGTTTATCATTCCTTAATGTACATTGTTTCTAACTATTCCCTCTATAAATAGAATTAAGATTCTTTTGCAGCATGTTTTTCATGTCTAAACACATATCACATTTTCAATATTATATTGTAAATCAAATATTGTTGTAGTCTTTCTTAAAAGAAAAAATTATGAATGCAATAAATAACTGGATTTGATTCATCAAAATTGAGCTCTTGGAATTTCCCCTCATGATTTAAATGCCTCCTGTAATGCATCCTGTGTTTGCTGGTTATAAGTGCAGACCCAGAAGAATTATACGTGAGAAGCTCATATAAAAATGATACATAAATCTATTGCAGGATGAGGTATGCACAAAAATATTTATGTTTTATGAGTAGCTTATAAATCTCTACCTCGCTGTCATATAAACCATTAGTGGTAAGCTGGAAGATACTGAGAGCATTCATTTTAAAAGCAAAACATACCTCTCACCTTTGGACCTTGTGTGCAATGTGTAGCATAATTAGGACTCTGACTTATCACATGCCCCATGCACTTTAGCCATTACCTTATTGTGACTTCATAAGATGAAGCTGGAGGTTAGGTCAAATAAGACTCTTTTTATAAGGAAATATACTTGAGATTAATAGCCACATTTATATTTCCTTTCAACCCATCTCCTCTGAACTTGAATTATTTTCATGGTCTAGTAGTAACCCATTGTGGGAGAGAGGCCCTGAGAGGTATGTTAAAATTTGAATGAAGATTTCTCTTCCTATTGATAGAAACTGAGCAGTAGACTAGAGATAGCACCATAAGGACTCCGCATTCAGCCAAAGTGTTGCTGAACCTTTGCTAAGAACGTGCTTTCTGGTGCAGTGGTTGGAAGCCTACACATCTTGAAGTGCTACCCATACTTAGCAGAGGAATTGCTTCCTGGCTTATAGTCTGATTTCAAGATGTGAGGTCTTGGAGAAGACCGTTGCTATCCAGGGAAATGAGACATAGGGCAATATGCTGACAGGAGGGAAAATATATATATTGGTATATTGAAATGGTACGTTCTCTGACTGATAGACAATATGTAGTTAATGATGGAATCCTCACAGAGTGACTGATTCTATTCCTCAGGGCTAATAACTCAGGAGAAGCATCATAAGAAAACTAGTTATACACATGAGTCTTTCCAGCCACTGTTCTGTACTGATTCAGCAAGTATCCCAATTCATAGAAATATTGATATCTCTCCCATTCAGCAGATTAATGCCAAACATGCTCTACAGTGCAGAAACATAGTGGTTGGCATCATGAGAAATACAAATAATTAACATTTGTTGTTTGTGTTCTTAATTAGGAGAGAAAATATAAAATCATAATACCAATGAATAAAAAAATTCTTTATAAAGCTTTTTTCTTTAGTAGTAGTAGTTGGGAAAGAGAACTCTACTTTAATAACCTCTTTAGATAATTGTGGATATTTTTCATTTTGAAAATTTCTTTCCAGCTTTTTTGAGGTATAACTGATAAATAATATAATCTGTTAATAATGGTAACTGCTTTGGAAATCTACACTAAATCCTGTGGGAACTCAGAGTAGGCTGCATTTAACTTTAGCTTGAAGGGAAGGCTTCAACAAGGAGGGGCTGTTTGACCTATACTTTGAAGCATGAGTGAGAACATTCTTGAAGGATAAGCAAACAGTGGAGGGTGGAGAGGCTGTTTCTAGGGTGAGGACCTTCAGAAAAATCCTCAACAAACATCAGGCCAATGCCATATGATAAAATGGTTGTGAAGGTTCCAGTGGGTGGAAGTAGGAGCTCCATTTCAAATGTACTAGTTTATAAATCTGTTGTGTTGTTTTGCCTCTTGTTCTTTTATTCTTTTACACTACTGTTCTACTGATGTCTCAAAAGACTTCTGTAATATGGGGGAAATGCCAGAGTTTTCTGGCAATAATCTGAATGGGTATTTTGGAGCATCTACTTGTATGTATGACTTTCTAAATCGGTAGCAGGTACAATAAATAATTCAGGTTAGGGAAATCCTATTTAGCTTCTCCACACCTGCCACTGTTAGCTCCTTGGTGTGGGAGGCTCAAACTTGAAAGAGCTGTTATGCCAGGTGCTCTAATAGGCATGTGAAATTGCTGCTAAGGAGATAATACACTAACTTGGAACCCCATAGGAAGAGTGCTGCCCTTGGTTTCCTCCTCTGCTGAGACAGGGAATTCCCTGGCCTGCTTTAGCTACAAGAAGGAATATCCTGGCACTGCCCCAATACACTTTGTATCACCCAGTTCTTCCCTTTGATTGTACTGTTGCAGTTTTGTGTTATGTCAATGCATAAGTTATTCCTGATCAACAAGTCTGCTATTTAGGTGCCATAGCCTCAGTAATTACAAGCATATTGAACTACTTCTGTTACACTTGGAAATATTCACTGCCTAAAAAATAACAAATACAATACAATAAAATAAAAAAATACTCACTGCCCCAGCTCCTTTCAAGGATGTGGGTACCTTAACTTTTCTCCCCTTCAGACAAGAGAGCAGGGAGGGCTTTTGAGGACCCAGAGTCCCATGTCAGCTTCACTGCTGGCAACTGATCTGATTGGCTGGTACTTTGCCTTATTTGTTGTTAAATATTTTGAAAAACTTGGTTTGGGATGCTGATACAAAGTCCTCTAGCTCCTGATGCAGAACATAAATGATGCTTGCATTTGCAGGTAGGAGAAGATTCTCGGCACGCAGGACCACCTGTTCTCCCCAGACCGTCCAGTACATTCAATACAGTCAGTAGGCCACAGTACCAGGACATGGTTCCAGTGGGTATGTCACCCCTGTCCAGAAATCCCTCTGTGCTTTTGTGTCATTGTAGATGATGCATATTATGCTCACACTTCCCTGTTAGCCTGCTATTCTCTGCCCTGTATTCAGAAACTATTGCATTAAGAAATTTCTAACAAAATCCCAGAGACTTCAGTCGCAAATGGCTTGTGTCTTATAAAAACCTATTGGATAAGATTTTTTAAAAATAGTACTCTACCTTTTCTAAGTAGAAGCCTTAGGTTGTTGAAGTTAAGAAAGAATAATTTATTAAGGTAATATGATTTGCAATCATAAACTAAGCATGTGAACAAGCATACACTTAGGGTATATTTAAAGAATTTACATGGTGTGTGAATCTGTAGTCACCTCACAAAGTAATCAAGCAAAGGTAGCACGTGCTTAAGGTGTTTTGTAGCATATAGAAGGCAGCAAGAACCTTCAAAATAGTAAACTAAAAATAAATGAATGTGAGCATATAGGCCTAAAAAACAACTCGAGTGTTAAAATGATGAAGTTGAAATAGATCTATGGTTTTCAAACCTGGTGCCCCTAAGGCAGGTAGAATGGATATACCAAGGGAAGGTCATGTAGACTGTCTTTTCCAACATCTTAAATTAGAGCACTTCTCCATTGTCTGTTTCTATTTTTAAATTTTTGCTTAAAAAAACACTACTATGTGGTGAAATGCAGTGTAATGACAATGACCCAAATATGTTTGATAACCACTGGATCACTGGATAAGAAGAAATCTAGGGTCAAGTCAGGCTGCATTTAATTCTGTCATTACTACTGTGATACTACATATCACACGTACTATTTTAAAATGCTGTGAAAAAGTTATCTAGTTTCTAATCTTGGATGAAATATAAAAATTAATAAATTATAAAAATGGCTTTTAGTTCATATATAATGAAATATATATTTAGGGACAGTTTGAGTCAACACTGGGCTTCCATTTTAGCAGATAACATTTAAAAATTTTTATTCATACTCAACTAAAATATGTATGTATGGGCAGCATAATGTACCATAAAATTTCAGACAGCAGATGTCTACAGAATTATACTTCTTTTGTTTAATCATTTTTTTAGTTTTTTTTAAAGGCATGTTTCTTGATCATATGTATAAACACAAAAGTGTTTTCTTAGCCAGGAACTCTCATGTTTAAGAATCTACTCCCTTCTATGACTTTAAATATATTTATGCCTTTCCAACATCTTAAATTAGAGCAGTTCTCCATTGTCTGTTTCTATTAACAGAGTTATTAATCAATTTTAATTAATTGTTTTAAAATTTCTTTAGCCAGCCTTGATTTGGAACATAAATTTTTTAATCATGTTTTGTTCATAGGTGATGAGGATTATTATATTGCAGCTGTTTTCATAGTTATTTTGGTAAAATGCTATTTATAGCTTAATAGCAGTTATTTCCATGCAGAATTTGGGAATGATTTGTCCTCTGTATTTTGATTATAGCTCTTTGCATCTTTTGTATTTGCAGGACTCTGGTTCTGCCCCTTTACCTCTCTGGATGGCTAATATTTAACTAGAAAATGATTTTCCATTTATGACTGTTGTCATTTCTGTGAGGTTGATTTTGGTAAACTTAAAATGATCACTATCTAGAATATTGGTGAACTAATCTTGTTATTTGATAATAAATATGGTTCATATTGAGTTTAATAAGAGTTGAAATGAGTTTAATAGGAATACTTAAGTAAGCCACACACATCAGATATAAGGCACGGTCACATAACAGGTTGGACACACACTGGAATGTCAGCTTCTGTGATGGAAGAGACAGTGTAACTCCAAACTGTGCATCTGAATGCCAGGAATATTAACTGTAAAAACTGCTTGTTTTTATATAAAACCACTGATACATTTAAAAAAAAACTGTTGTCTTTTCTGATTTTTTTTAGCTTATAATGACAAGATTGTTGCATTTCTGCGCCAACCTAATATCTTTGAAATTCTACAGGAGCGTCAACCTGATCTTACCAGGAATCACTCACTCAGGTAACCATAATCTTGGTATTTGTTTCAAGTTGCATAAGCCCCAATCATTAAATTTTGGTAACACTCGGAAATTCACTCTGTCACTTATTACAAAGGCATCTTCTAAGTCATCAGCCCCCAACTCACTGTAGTTCTGGCATCTATGAAGTACAAAAGTTGAATGAGATTAACTAAGCAATCTAGAGGTCTCTTTAAAGAAAAAACATGAAAAAGAAAGAAAAATTAACAGCCAAGAATCATTCTAGATATGTATATTATAGAGAAAAAAAAACAATAAGACACTAACCTTTTCTAGTGTAGCTAGAGTGAACAACATAATAGTTTATTGAATTGAGATTTGTAGAGTCTTAGGCTTGATATTCACATTTTTCCATAATAAAACACAGTGGAACCCAAGAAAGGAGTCTGATTCTTTCTACTGTCCAGCATTCTCCCTGCATGAACCCTCTCTTCTAAATAGCTCCTTAGCGCTTTCAGCCTGGTTTGACTTTACTGAATTCAGGCTGTTCCTCTTCACTGGCAAGCTTTTCTCTTCTCAGTCTGGCAGAAAAGGTCTCCTTTTCAAAGCCCAGGACAAGTTCTCCTTCCTTGAAACATTTCAGCTCTGCTATGGAGTCTCAGTCTCATGATCTAGCCTAGTATTTCTCAATCTCATTAGAGCTAGAAAAGGGGGAATTTAATATTACATAAACCAAGGCCCTACATTTGCATACATTAATTTGGTGATTTATCATGTAAGGTACCTCTTTTTTTTTTCTTTGTACTGTTTTGGATATTTGATATCTGTGCTTTAGTTTGATTTTTGAAGTTTTTTTTTTATTTTTAATATTTATTTTTTAGTTCTCGGCGGACACAACATCTTTGTTGGTATGTGGTGCTGAGGATCGAACCCGGGCCGCATGCACACCAGGCGAGCGTGCTACCAGTTGAGCCACATCCCCAGCCCAATTTTTGAAGTTTTTAAAACCTTATTTTCCAACTAGATTATAAGATCCTTGCAAAGAGGGATCTTATGAGACTCGTTATTTCTCCCTCTTACTACTCAGACATCTAGAATAGCACTTTGCATACTGTACTTGTTAATTCGAAAATAAATTATCAGCTATTCTCGGTTTCTCCTGTCTTTTAAAGCTGTCATTACTTTTAAACTTCTAAAGGCTACAACTACACAACCTTTCGAGTATGACATTACAAACGTTGCTTATGTGGAGAATCCAGTTTTACATGATTAACATTAAACTGAAGATTTAGTCCTTTCCCCAACACGAGCACTCTGTTCTCAGTCACATAAAAGATATCAAAATTATACAAGTGTGGGTTTGGTGTGTTTGTTTATTATGAGATCCACAAAGTCATCCATGGTCTAGAGAATCTAGAGTAAGACCTTTTAGTTAATGAAATTGCAGAAATGAGCTCCTTGATGGTCTAATTAAAGATCTTACTGATTCTGAACTTTAAATCAAAAGCAAATAAACAAGCTAAATTCTTACTCTTTTGCTAGCCAAAAGATAAAACAAACACTATTTTCTCTAATCTCTACCACCTCCAGCCACAGCACAAGTCCACAAAGGCTTGCTTATACACACACACACACACACACACACACACACACACTTACACTCACACTCACACACTCACACAGATTTAGTTCATATCTGTTCCTCTGGAAATACCCCAATCCCCACATAAGAGAAAGAAAAGGAGGAAACTCAAGTTTTCCACTTTTTCTCTGCACTTCACATTAGCATTTAAAATAATTAATGTATCTTTCAATCTCCCCCTGGGAGAGATTGGATGCTTCAATCTCTACCTGAACAGAGCATTGTCATTATTCTTTAATGACTTGACAGAACCTTAACAGACCCCAACAGAAGGGAGGCTCCAGGCTCCAGATGGCAACTTCCCAGTTTTATTTTTTATTTTCTTTTTTACTTTTTTAGTCTTAAGTCTCTAATCTTCTGAAGATGGCTGAAGATTTTATAATGGAGTAACACCCAGGGTCCTCAGTTAAGCATAATTTTCTTCTAACATAGATCTCACATGATAATCCCTTACTAAGAAATTGTCTGATAGGCCTTGGAAGATGTTTCTATCTATTTACATTTGTTAAATATGATTATGGAAAGCATATGTAATCAGGACAAGTAGAAGGAAACAGGAATTTAAATCAATGAGCTAATGCCAGAGTGTGTGTCACAGCGTACTTTCATTTTCCAAAAAGTTTTTGGTAGTTAAGCACTTTGCTTCATCATAATGACCTAAAGGGGAAGTTTGTATATGTGAGAGAACATTCTGTTTCATGTAGTTAAAAACTGCATTGTAAGGACCATTCCCATAAGTAGCAGGAATGGAACACAGCTGGATTTAATCTCACATTTCAGTGATTTTTTTTTTAAAGAGAGAAGTGAAAGAGAGAGAGAGAGAGAATTTTTAATATTTATTTATTTTTTTTTTAGTTTTTGGTGGACACAACATCTTTGTTTGTATGTGGTGCTGAGGATCGAACCCAGGCCGCTCGCATGCCAGGCTAGCGCGCTACCGCTTGAGCCACATCCCCAGCCCCTCAGTGATATTTTTAATAACAGATTGCATTAATTTTCTGCACTACAACAAAATGCCTGAGATAATTAACTTACAAAGAGAAGAGGTTTATTATTATTCGTATTACAGTCCATGATCAGGAGGACCTGTTGACTTCAGGCCTTTGGTGGACAAGCCGGATGGCAGTGTTGGGGAGCATATATTGGAGTAAAACTTCTTACCTTCTGGCCAGGAGGCAAAAGAGAGAGTAAGGGGCCAGAGTCCCACAATCTCCTTCTGGTGCACAACCCCAGTGACCTAAGGACCTCCCATAAGGTCCCTTCTTCTATAGGATCACAGTACCTCTCAACAGCCTCTTCCTGAAGACTAGCCCTTTAACACATAGTCCTTTGGTGGACATTCAAACTATAACATGGACTTATTTATGTGTGGAACAGAGCCACTGGGTAATCTGTATCTCGCAGGTGATTATAGACCATCTGCTCATGCCTTAAGCAAGGATTACCAACTCCAACAGAGTTTTCTATACATTCTTCTTCCTCTGTGGCATATCCACTTAAAAGAAATAACCCTTCATATTCTGTCCACAAATTAATGAGGAAATAGAGGACAGCCTTGGAGACTGAAGTAGATATACCTCCTTATTTTGTATTTTCCTTCTTTCTCCCCAAACCAGAAAATAGCAAGCTGTTTGATAGTTTGCATTCATATATAGCTTCCTCTTCCTTGAGACTCCACTTGGGTATCTTTTCCTGTAGAATGGCTGATAGTTTCCATGCAATAGAATATGGCTTTTATTTCAACTCTGTATTGAAATCACTCCTCTATCTGTCATGCAAATGTGAATGATACCAAGTTGTTGTTCCTTTGTACCCCCTGGTTTTCATTTTTTAATTTTGAAAGATATTTATTTCCTTAATTAGAAAAATCAGCATCCAAATTTGCTACCACCTCTGTCAAATGGGAAATGTCCCCTTGGACTGTTATATCCTCTAGTTCTCACTGGAAGACAGTAATCATACCAGCATATTTGAATGCTATGTCATAAAAAACAAGAGATAAAGTAAAAAGTTCCAGTACTGTATCCAAATAAAATATATTCATTTAAAAACTTTTAATAGGAGCTGGGTTGTGGCTCTATAGTAGATGCTTACCTAGCATGTGTGAGGCACTGGGTTGGATCTTTAGCACCACATAAAAATAAACAAAAAATAAACGTATTGTGTCCATTTACAACTAAAAATATTTAAAAATTTTAAAATAATGTTTTATAGGTGAATTTTATGAATACAAATTCAGTAAAATTTTTAATTTTGGTGTTTGTACAATGTTCTGTTATGATAAAGGATCTAAATGTCATAACCCTGAGTTAAGATTTGAGACATTCCCCTCTTAATGTGATTATTAAGACTAACCACTAAATCTAATTCCTGCCTGTCTTGCTCTCCCCAGGAGTCAGTGTAATTATTTTGGGCACCAGGCTGATTCCTCTTTGAGCACTTCCTATAGAAATTCCCTTGCCATAAGAATGTGCTCTGTGCCGGGGATGATGGAGTACACCTATAATCCCAGCAGCTCTGGAGGCTGAGGCAAGAGGATCACAAGTCCAGAGCCAGCCTCAGGAACTTAGTAAGATCCTAAGCAACTTAGTGAGACCCTGTCTCAAAATAAAAATGAAATGAAAAGGGCTGGATATTGCTCAGTGGTTAAGTGCTGCTGAGTTCAGTCCCTGGTACAAAAAAAAAAAAAAAAAAAAAAGAATGTGATCTGTGACACTTTTGTTCATTCTGGGTAAATCAGCCCATTTAATATTTTAAGTTTTAGTAAATCAGAAAATTGGAAGTCCAAAACATCCTGAGCCAGAAAAGGCAAATATATGTGTGTCTCTGGATTCCCTAAACTGGAACTAAACTCAGACTCTGGCCTCTAAGTTCACATCATCCTATTTTTAGAGCCCTGCATGTTTGAAAATTGTTTTGAAATTATTAAACAATACAGAATCTTATGGAATTAAAAAGATAAGAGTTTCAAAAGCTGATTTATACAAAACAAACCCCCGTTTTCAAAATATCTAACCTAGTTCTCAAGTAGAGACTTTAGAGCAAGTGAATTTTTCTATATTTATGATCGGGCTAGAAATATTAATATCAGTTAAAATCTGAACTTTTTGTTCTAAGCAGCATGAATTTATCTCTGCTGGCCTGATGTGCTTTCTTGTTGGGACCTGCTTAGCTCTGTCTTTGAGTCCTCCTCTAATTTGTTTACTGCTCGCTCAGATGTCTGGACCAACATGGCAATCTTCCGTTTTTCTTGTACTAAAGTTAAATCTAGAATAGAACTGTTGTTTTCCTAAGTTGTAGACCATTTGCTTAGGCATAATTGTTAAATTTTTTAAATACCCAGTTAAAATAACTTATAGAGACCACATAGTGATGACCATCATGAAATCTTGCTAGAAG